CTCCTTGTCTCTGGGGAGCCCGGGGCCCCTAAAGGGAAAATCCCTCAAAAAAAAAAAAAAAAAAAAGCAAGCTGGGCATGTGTGCATGCATGTCCAAAATTTTGACCGGAGAAGTGGAGGAAAAGAGATTGTGGCATGACCACGCCCCATTGAGAGCTTCTCTCTTTCTCACTAGCACTCGGGTGAGTGTATACACCTTTTGGCTGTAAGAAAAAAAAAAAAGATGGGGCCAGCAGATGGTGTAGCAGTTATATCCCTGGACTCCCACCCACATAGCCAACCACGGTTGAAACCCGTGATCTAGTGATCTAGTGATTTCTCATTTTCTCATTTTCCCTCTCACTGGATCTGTCTCTCTCTTTCCTCAGCAAGTGCAGGCACCTTAAAGCAAAAACCTCTTTAAAAAGAAAAAAAATGGTAAAAGCCTGATAATATCTTCAGAAACAAGAGAACATAATAAAGTGACACAGATATAAAAAAAAATAGGACATTTAAAAACCAGCTAATTAAAAAACTGTGATTAATTGCAAATCAAACATAGAAGAGAGAATTATTTAGGATATAGGTGAGAAGAAATTATCTAGAAACTAAGGGGCTTAACTGGTCCACCTCCTGGCTAGGACACCACTTGCCTGCCCAGTGGCCACCAGGGGGCAGAGGTGCACCGTGGAGCACTCCCAGTCCTTTTCCACCTTTTCTCCTTTAAATGATGCTGGAATGTTGCCTCCACCAATGAGACCTGCTCCATCCACACCCAGGTCCTGTACCCAAGAGGAAGGGATTTGGGGCACTTGGCAATAGTGAGTATGGAGTCAGCATCAGAAATAACAAGATTTTAAAATCTTTAAAAATCAGCAGCTTTTGGGCAAAGTGTTCTTTTTTTCTCATAGCTTATTTTGGTACCCATGAATGGTTTAAAACTGTACAATCAACCTTTATACCTTTCATCTGGACTAACCAGTTACAAACACATTTTCCCACATTATTTACACATACATTTTGTTTTAGTTTTTTGGCTGAACCATTGGAGGATTACTTAGACATCCTGACACTTCACACCCTTGAATACAATAGCCTGCATCTCCTATGAATAAAGACATTCTCCTACACAGCCACGATGCCATTTGTTATCGCACCTAAGAAACACAGTATTGATATGGTATCATTATCTCATTTACAGTTACATGTTTGGATATCTCCAGTTGTCCCAACTATATCTTGTATAGCTGTAGGTTTTTATTGGTAATCCAGGATCTGATCAATGTTTCCACCATTTAGCCTTCCATGAAATTTTTAAAAGTATTTATTCTATTTACTATTATTATTTAAATTTACTATAGAACCTATGTGCTCACCAGAGAGAGAGAAAGTGGAAAAGTAAGTTACCAGGTCTGGGATTTGAACAGTGGTTGGCCATGTGGGAGTTCAGCACCTTAACCACCATGCTACCTGCTGTTCCATGACATTTTTGTTTTGTTTTGTTTTCTTTTTTTGTTGTTGTTGTTTTCTTTTCTTTCCTTTTTTTTTTTGGAGAGGTTTTTGCTATAGCGTGCACTCACCAGACAGAGACAGAAAGCGAGAAATCACCCCTCCAGAGGGGATAGCCACGCCGCAGTCCTTTCTCCTCCATTCTCTTCTTGGGATCTTGGGCATGCACATACACGCCTGGCTTGAGTTTAAGCCACTGGGTCCAGGACTCGAACCACGATCGACTACGTGGGAGTCCAGTGACATAGCCATTACACTAACTGCTGGTCCCCCCATGACATTTTTAAAGAGTCCAAGCAAGTTATCTTGTAGAAGATTCCATAATCTGAATTTTTCCTATTTATTCTTCATGATTAAATTTAGTCAAGTCACTTTTGGTAAGAATATTGCATCAGGCATGTTATTTGTTTCCTGTTACATTATATCAGGAGGCCCATCTTATAGGTTTGTACCATACTAGTGATACTATTTAATCACTGAGTTATCTGTGACAGTTTCCTGTTCTTTCTTCCCCCTCCAAGAAATGAACAAACAAACTGAATCTGATACCACAAGGACCAACCAGTTAACGCCAGGATGTGGAACACATAGTCGTTTCTCAAAAAAAACACGACATTGGCTCCCTACTACTTAACAGAAAAGCTAGGCATATCCCTGCCACAGGACCTTGCGTGTGTTCCTGATACCTGGAAT